TGAAGTGGGCGGGCATCGGGAGGCCACTATGGCATGGGGCAAGCACTATGGGCAGTCTATCTGAAGTGTACCTGGCGTATAAGACGACCCCCCACTTGTAGGCATATTTTTCAGGGCCAAAAAATCGTCTTATACGCCGGCAAATACGGTAGGTGTGAAGGTAAGCATAAAACTCAAAGGTATAGTAAGTACCCTTTCTCTAGAGCACAAAAAGATCTGGATTTGAATCCTGGGTCATCTGCTTTTTAACAGGGCAATTTATTTAACCTTTCTCAATATTTGTAACCCTCTCTAAAGTTACTGTAAGGATGAACACAAATAATTTCATATATAATATCACCTTGTACAGTGCCTTAGAAGAAGGATGCACTGAATAAATGATAGTTAATATTAAATTTTGTGTTGCTATTGGGAGAAAGTGTGATTATAAGGGTAAAAGATGATATCTATAAGTATAGGGAAATTCATTATTTCCAGCAGACATACAATGTTTTTCATTGTCCTAAGCCACAATAGAAGCAAACTAAGTTTATTAGTATGGGGTTAATTTAAATACAGCATAAATGACTAAGAGAAAACTGTTGACCAGGAACAGGGCCAATTTTGCAGAGCATGGAGAGCTCTATGCCTCTCGTAATTATAAAGATAATTCACAAAACTATTTGCATTTGTATTCTAGTAATACTCATGTTTTGTAAGTTGATGGTGTGTATCCATAAATTTTATAAGCAGCTTAGAAAGTGGTTAGCACAGATTTTCAAGCCTCCAGTGGTGTGCTGGAGTCGGCACTAAAGATAATGCATAATTAAATATTCACATATTGTAAGCCTGTTATTAAATTATTGGTAGCTTGAAACGACCAAAGTAGGAGCATTTACACCACAGCAATTGGTAAATGCTGCAATTCCAGGGTTCTGCCCACCCTGAGGGCCTGGTTTACTAGTAACTACTGATAAGCTACTTATGCAGACATGGTTTATAGCCTTTAGAAAGTTACTTTGCCTTTCTCTCCTGCACCTGGAAAATGATATAATTATTTCTTTATCATAAAGTTGCTTCAAGGATTAACTCACTTAATTCATGTAATCACCTAATACATACTCTATAAATGGTAGTTCATATTAATAAGCCAATATTATGAAAGAGACAAAATGAAGAGAAAATCAGAAACTAAAAGTAAATGAACACCTTTTTGAGAACAATGGATTTTTGCTATATTAATAGGTATTATTAAGCAAATGATTCTAAATCTATAATACAGAAGTAATCCACTCAACTCAAGGTGTCACTCACCATGAAAAGATTGTCATGCGCTTTTCCACTCTCCCCAAAAGGTGAGATGAAAGAACCAGTTCTACCAGAGGTGCTTTCTTGGTTAGCTTGTTGCTCAGGAACCGGTTCATATAAACTGTCCATAGAGCCCTCCTGCAATAAAGAGATTTATGAGTCAAGGAATAACAAAATGGTAATTTTCCTTGAAAAGCCTTCTGACCTATCTACCCATCTTTGTGTAGTACCATATCTAAATTATCCTGAGCATAAAGATTAAGAGTTTATGGTATGTCAGTTTTCAACAGTGAAGAAAGGCATTTTCACTACTTATTACAGAGCTAGAAATTCAAACAAGACTTTAAGTGTTGGAGAGCCATGCACAAAATAAGGCAATTTCTCAAGAAACATGATGAAGACATCAAGTTCAAGATGCTAAATAAAGGCTTGTTTGGATACCAATAAACTGTGTTGGGTGTCATGTCTTAGATATACGTATCTCTCTAATTAGTACTGTGTCCTCCTGTAAGAAACACAATCTATTATACTTCAGATTTCTCAACTAGAAAGCAGCAGTTTCACTCACCTTACAGAGGAACTGTCAGGATCAAATTAATACAGTGCATGCTTTGAAATAGCAAAAATATTTCACAAGTACAATAAAAGCATTAATATTGAGGGTTACAGTATTCATATTAAGAAATAATGTTGCTTATTTGTTTTTATTCTTATGGAATAAGGAATTTTAAAATGTATGAGTTTGCATTTAAAGGCATTGTGACCTATGTTGTAAACCTTGTATTAGGAAAGCAACTGATTAACTGAATTGACTTGTTACATTTTTTCCTTTTGAGACAGAATTGGTCTAGTTATGGCATCATTTAGAAATAGTCATAAGGGAGAGAGACATGCACCTATTATTTTGAAATGTCTAGATGTAATCACTGGTGATGCTGATAAATGTGTCATCAATATAAACATCAGTTGGATTATGAAAAAGGTTTCTTGCTTGAAGCAATGAGTAAAAGAAACTGTAGTATTGCATTGAAATATTCTCATCTTTAAAAATGTATTTATTAATATATAAGTAAAGTAAAGATTGAATTGCTTTTACATTGTCTACCTTTAGAACTTTCAAAATCAATATGTTCTACAGTTTCAAATTTCAAGTAAGCCCTGCTCCAAACACATGGCAAATTATTAGGAAAATTAAAAAGAACTAAGGAAGAACTAAGACATTTGTGCTTTAAAATATACAAATATGTATTTGATTTAGGGAAACAGAAAACCTAACAGAAACACAAAGTGGTGAGTGAAGGTGAAACTTTGGATCTGTTAAGCGCCCATCCACAATTTGGTAACACGGACCAGATCTTGGGCCAGATCATGGGGTAACATGCATTAGATGTCCTCCACATAAAGCAGACTCCATGCTGAAACCCAGGGCTACTGCATCACTCACAACAATGAAAGGAGGGTGAAAAATGCTTCTTGGAACAGCTGCTAGGGCAGTTGCTTCTTGGAAGCTGTAGGCCAGAAAATCAAATTTCAGCAGCACAGCCAGCAAACTGGGATCTGAAACAAACTCAGCTGGTTCAGTGACTGGATCAGTAATACACCAAACATCACCTTGGGATGAGATCTTTTGACCAGAAATGCAAACCTTGGTTCTAAGTTGGGGCCACAGGAAGACTTGAGATTTTTGCCTCACAACTTGATGGAGAAAGGGAAGAGGACAGAAAGGGGAGAAAAAGAAAGAGGGAGAAGGGAGGATATAAAGGGAGGAGAGTGAGAGGGTGAGGAAGAGGGAGAGACAGGGACACAGAGAGAAGAGAAAAATAGTTACTCAGCATTAGCCAAGATACATGAGAGGATTAAATGATGAAAAGGAGAGCCAACTGAATTGACAGTCTGAAAATAAAGTCATTCATTCCAGATGAAACTAAAATCATGATGGAGAAAGAAATAATTTAAGGAAGTATATTTATCATCTTCACAGAACTAAATGAAAACTAACTCCAATTAAAAAGAAATAATCTATGATGAAACCAAAATGGGCAAAAATGAAACAAGAACAGTTAAGTAGCAACAAAAAAACAATTAAAAAGTATTGAAAATGAATAATCATAGCAATTTATATTAAATAATCAAAAACTGGAATGAACTCTAGACCTCTCAAATGAATTAAAAAATGCTGAAGAGATCTCATCTAGGATGTAGCACAGAATGATAACTGACTAGAAAACACATGAAACATTCAGTTAAAAGTGTGAAAGGTATACTGAGATACTAGAACATAGATTAATAAGGATTCTAGAAAATTTCAATGACATAATTTTCTTGTCAATTTAAGAAAACAATTTTATATATAACATAGTTTTTAAAAATCCTAAATGGAATGATAACAAAATTAAATCTAATAGTATATATAAAAATATACCATGGCCAATTTGTGTTTAAAATAGGAATATAATGATGTTTTAACATTTAAATATACATTAAAATATCAAAAAGAAAGTTTATTTTCAATAAGTATTCTAAGGCCTTTGAAAAAATTATTATTCATCCATGGTAAAATCTTACTAGGGTTATTTATCAAAAACCTAAGATTCAATTAGAAGTAATTACATGAACATTAGAAACAAGACAAGGATGCCTGCCATTATAGTGTTTTTACTTGTCAATATTACAGACCAGAGAGAAGCTGAGATGTTGCTAAACAAGAGGAACACTTACAGATTATCTGCATAGAAAATCTAAAAAAAAAAAAAAAAGCTACCAGAATTGGAAAACTTCAGCAAAGCTATTTACTTGTATTATTATCAATGTCTTAAAATTAATAATGTATCTGTAAATCAGCAAAAACAAATTATGAAAAAAATCTAAATAGCAACCCAAATTTTTAGACCCTACCAGTAAATTTAGCAAAAGATGCACAAAAATTTTATAGAGAAAACTATAAAACATCATTAAAGGCCAAGAAAGATTAGAACAAATGAAGAGCTATAGATGTTTGTAGATGGGAGAATTCAATGAAGCCAATTACCCCTAAAGATGATGTAAAAATCAAATTCATCTTAATCAAAATCCCATCAAAGATTTTCATATAACTTGACAATATGATCCTAAATTTACATAGAAGCACAAACACTTTAAAAGTCCAAATTTTGAAGAAGGACAAAGAGAGGTATTCTTTTGAGTAAGATATCTACTTGGCATTAGAATGATCTTAATAGTTATGTAAAAGAACAAGAAAAAGGAAAAGGATAGAGATAAACCAATGGGATAGAATAGAGAGTTCAAATTAAGACAGAGAAATGGTGCAGGGATGATTTATTTGTAACTGCACTGGGTTTCAAAGTTATGTTAAACTTAGTAAGCATATGATGAGCTCAACAAGAAAATCATCTTGCATCTATAGAACAATTCTAGATTCAAAATGGCATATATAAAAGGATATTCCTTCCTCTCTTTTGAACAAGAGACCCCCATTGTGAGTTTATAGATCCAAAATAATAACAATCAACTTTAATGGAATATTTATGGCATTCTTGGTTTAGAATGGTAGTTCATTAAGTTTGTCTTATATTTCTTTTAAAAACCTCATTTACTAAAAGATTTACAATTTCCCCCTACACTTAAATAAGAGAATGTTTAACTCTTTCACTGACTTTCTTTCATGCTAATCTTTATGTGATGCTTAATATTTAAAATCATCTCCTTCCTAGAGAGTTAAATATATGTAAATATAGCTCCACTTTTTAATTCTGCAATCTTTCTTTTGACTAAGTCAAATCAGTGGTTTTTAATATCTTTTTTAAAAATTCAATGTACCATGTGTTTGCATTCATACAGGCATAGATAAAACTTGCTTTGAATTATGCACAAACTCCTGGCAAAATCTGTGACCCCACCTCTTTTTCACAGTTCATAGCAGCACAGTGGGATGTCATAACACCCTGGTTGAGAGCCTATACACTAAATGATTTTATTTATTTTCTTCACAAGAAGGAATAAAAAACAGCCAAGATGGTTTTGATTTTGTCCAAGTACCTTGCAGACATTTTCTTACTAAAGCAATTAATTTTGATGATATGCATATATATACTTTGGCATGCTTGAACAAAATAATTCAGTGTTCACGACGGTTCAGTCTAATCCAATATGTTTCTGAGCAAGCAAATTTTCAAGGACAACTTTAAAAGAAAGGAAAGGGTTACAGTCAAATTGAGTCTATGAAGCATGGCTTTGAAGCAAACCTTTTTGAGGATGTGTCCCTTTCCCTATATTACAGAGAAAGAAAATCATGTTTATTATATGGTTATATGTCTTTAGTGGCAGGATTACAAACATATGCGACACTATGCCAAACCACGCTGTGTTATAAAAACATTAGCATACTGATTATAGTACCATTCAGAACGCAGTAGCCTCTGCTGCTCCACTGCCTATTTCCATGGGAAGTACATTCATATAAACCACATATAGCTCTTTTAGATCAACTAGAAAAGAATATACAATGCCATTTAAATCACTTAAAATGTGATTTCTCCAGTCAGGTTTATATGGCACAAAGCAAAGTTGAGCACTAGCAGTTATTTTTTAAATTGGAACTCTATAGGCAACCCAGACTCGATGATTCAGCCTGCCACAAGTCACAACTGCATTTTATTTTTCAAGGTGCTCTAAGATTAAATCCCTTATCTTGGCTTAAAACACCTCCTATTACAACCTATGTCAGCACCATCTCTAGCACTTATGTTAATCTTATTTGCAATTTGGAAAGAAAACAAACACCAACTGAAACCATTTTATTTTCCCAAATGACAGAGATCTTCCATTGACATCTTGAAAACCAATGAATAGGCAGAATGCCCTTCTGTAAACAGATAGAAATGAATAAAATTATTTTTGAAATTCATTTTTAGCTTTGGCAGATGGTCACAAGTGCAGGTTACAGTTATAAAATATTTCCAGTTCTATGACTGCCTGCTAACTTTCACTGATCTACTTCAGGCTAAAGGGGGGGAAAAAGTAATGCTGTAAAAAAGAATTTGAGAGGTGTTTATACCCTTGAATGAGCACATCTGCAGGACTGGATTAATCTATTGTACCTTGCATTTACAGTGCTGTGTAACACAGAAAGCTGCTTCCATGGTTGTTTAACCAAGCCAACATTGAATAGAATTTATTACTCAACAATAAAGAAGAAATTTTGATTCCTAGGATGTCTTAAAGCAAAGCAAGCAACCCAAATACAACATATTTTGCAAAATTTTTTCTTATACTCATAATAAATAGAAGAAATCACTTCCTCAAAAATACTGTTTACATATCATACTTAGAAATTTAGCATCAAAATGTTACATAACTAGGAATTATTGTAGATAAATTTTTGTTTGTTTGTTTTTTGTAAACTGCTCACCTCCAAATAGTGTTGGCTTCAATGAAACATTCTCTTGCTGATGTGGACTTTCTTATAAGACCCTAAATGTACTAATATTACCACATAGGAAGTTTAGGGTATACCCTAATTTCATTCTTTTTAGCTGATACAATAAAATAAAAACGAGAATATAAATGGTACATGTAAAGAAACTTACCAATGAAAAGCAGAAAAGATTCATTGTGGTCAGCTTCAGTCCTTTGCTGCTGTAGAAAACAGAATTGTCCCTTGTAGCCCTGTCTTGCCTTCACAGCTGTTGGGACAGTTCTCAGGGGGGATTATTACAAAGTAAAATCCCTGCCATAATCCAGGGGATTCAGAGACCATTATCAAATAAGATAGGTCTTTATTGAACAGTTTCCTAAATTAATAAGGAGCCCTGACTAATAAAATGAGAGAATGAAACTTACCAAGATCTGTTTAAACAGATTTTAAAGGTAGCAATAATATTTCTAAAATCTGAAGGAAAAATGCAGTCATAACAACCATAGGCCTAGCTAGCTAAATAGAAAATATGAAGGAAACCCTGAAAAAAAAGATTATCTTTCCTTCAAAGGTGGCAGGTCAAGGCTCTGTCCCATGTGCCTCCCCATCTCCCATCCCTTTTTTTGCTTCCATTAATTTAAAAAATGTTGAATGTCTTATATGGCAAGATATGAGACAAGCACATATTTATGGAAGTAAAATATACATAACATATAATTTACCATTTTAACTAGTTTTAAATATAGTTTTGTGCCATTAAGCATATTTACACTGTGGCACAACCATCACTACCATCCATCCCCAGAACTTTTTCATCTTGCAAAACTGAAACTCTGTACCTATTGAACACCAACTCCCCATTCCCCCCCCCCCCCCCCCCCAGACAACCACCATTCTACTTTCCGTCTCTTTGAATTTCACTATTCTAGGTACTTCATCCAAGTGGAATCATTTAATATTTGTCCTTCGATGNTCATCTTGCAAAACTGAAACTCTGTACCTATTGATCCCCCCCGCCCCCCCCACACACACACACAGCCCCAGACAACCACCATTCTACTTTCCGTCTCTTTGAATTTCACTATTCTAGGTACTTCATCCAAGTGGAATCATTTAATATTTGTCCTTCGATGGCTGGCTTATTTTACTTAGCATAATGTTTTCAAGGCTCACCCATGTTATAGAATGTGTCAGAATTTCCTTCCTATTTTAAGGCTGAATAATATTTACTGTATGTATACACCACATTTTGTTTATCCATTCATATGGTGATGGACACCTGAGTTCCTTCCAGCTTTTGCCTATTGTGACTAATGCCACTATACCAGGTCTGACAATTAAGTTCGAGAACTTGTTGCAATGCTGTTGCTAACCATTTTTTATATCAGAGGGATTATTCATAATTAATTTGTACCAACTGGACAAACAGTTAACCAAGTTTACTATTTAGAAGTGCTGAAAGGGCTGCATGAAAAAGTTAGACGACCTGAACTTTTTTTCACCAACAATTCATGACTTGTGTGTCATGACAATGCACCAGCTCACACGACACTGTCTGTGAGGGAGTTTTTAGCCAGTAAACAAATCACTGTATTGGAACACCCTCCCTACTCAACTGAACTGGCACCCAATAACTTCTTCCTTTACCTGAAGATAAAGGAAATATTGAAAGGAAGACATTTTGATGACATTCAGGACATCAAGGGTAATATGACGACAGCTGGCCATTGCAGAAAAAGAGTTCCAAAATTGCTTTGAAGGGTGGACTAGGCGCTGTCATGGATGCATAGCTTCCCAAAGGGAGTACTTCAAAGGTGACCACAGTGATATTCAGCAATGACATATATAGCACTATTTCTAGGGTAAGTTCTCAAACTTAATTGTCAGACCTTCATAAACATGGGTCTGCAAATGTCTATTAGCAGTTCTGCTTTCCATTCTTTTGAGTATATACACAGAAATGGATTTGCTGAAAAATTAAACTTTGATCTTGCAAATACAGCTCTTCAGCTAATGCTGGACTTATTTTTCCTTTAAATGATATTTATTTCTATATTCTTGAAAAGGGATCTACAGTTGTCTCTTGTCATTAAATAAAAATTCCTAGAGAGTTGCAGTGGTACCTTCTGGTTTTAGAGTGTTATCAGTTAAAAATGCTTTGAGTTCCAAGTAATGGACCATAAGACTGAGAATGCATACTGAAAAAGAGTTATTCTTCTCCTATCACAAGTACTCTGTGAATTGGCATCGATATAGAGGGCCACTGAGGTCAGAGTCATGGTTACTGTCTGAAGTTGCCCTTCCTTTCCCTTCTGTTCTGAAGATGGATGCAGAAATTCAAAACATTAAGTCCTCACCAGTTGCTTTCAGATGCAAGAAAGACATCATCTGCACCAATGTCAAGCAGCCCTCTATGTTTGGATGCCTTTCTATTATTCCTCTCGACAGCCTCAGCACCTCTGTAAGTTCCTCTATTTCAGCATGCTTTCCCAAGTTAGCATTTTGGGGAAGTATTACTTAAGGTATATTTTAAGAAAATGTAATATTAAAATTTAATCAAAATCAAAACCAGATAAAATTTGAGTCTCTTCCTTATAGTCTCTTGTAGGAGCTATAATATTTGAAATCCCAGTATTTTAAAAAATTGAGTTTGAAATTTTTATTCATACTCAAAAATAGAGTTCAATAATCCCTCCATAATCCCATCACTTATATCAAAAAATTATCAAGACATTACAATAGTTGCTTCATCTATCCCATTTTATCCTTATTTTCCTTCCCTGCTTAAGTATTTTAAACATCATGTCACTTCTCTCTTTCACACTTCACTTTGTATTTCTAAATTTTTTGATATTTTCTTAGATAATCAGTGGTATTGTTACACTTAAAAAAGTAATTCCTTGGTAACTTTAAATAATTCCTTGGTAACCTCCCTGTGTCACTTCCCCCACAGAAGATGGAGTCTATTTTCCAATCCCTTGAATGTGGGCTAAAGCTGTGACTACACTGACAAACAAAGTGTGGCAGAAATATGATTGTGCTAGAGCTAAGTCTAGCCTTCAAGAAGACTGCCAGCCTCCATTTCCTCGTTCTTGAAACCCAGGGGTCCCACTGTGAGGAAACCCAAGCATCACACAAAGAGACCTAATTTAAGAAATATCAAGAGCTCTGGTGACAGCCCCAGCTGCTCTCCAAGTTGACGACCAGCACAAATGTGCTCACCCTGAGCCAGGCCATCATGAAAGTAAATCCTCAAGTTTCACAGGAGCCACCCTGGTTATGCTGATGGAGCAGAGTGCTGACCTAATTGCAAAATTGTGAGCAAAAAATTATTATTGTTTTAAGCCACTAAATTCTGGGTTGGTTTGTTATGTGACAAGATAACTAAAGTACTTTCCCTAATTCAATTCCCCAATGATCTTTTAAAAGTATGTTTTCATTTACTCCATTTGAATCAAGATCCAAACAAGGAAGGACCATGTCACATTCAATTATCATGTCTCTGAAGTCTCTTTAATCTCTCTCTCTCTCTCTCTCTCTCTCTCTCTCTCTCTCTCTCTCTCTCTCTCTCCTAACTTGATACAGAAATCAGGTCCTGTAAAATGTATCACATTCAGAATTTTCTGTTGGCTTCTTTGTGTATCATTCAATCTATTCTTCTGTCTCTGGTATTTCCTCTGTAAAACAGCTTTTCCCCACAAATGGCAATTGGTTAGATTCTGAATCAAATTGTGTGTGTGTGTGTGTGTTGACAATTTCTTTTATGTTTTATTATTTATTAAATTTATTGGGGTGACATTGGTTAGTAAAATTATGTAGGTTTAAGTGTACATTTTAGAATATATCATCTATATATTGCATTGTATGTTCACCACCCAGAGTCACTTCTCCTTCCATCACCATCTATTTGACCCTTTTTCCTCTTTTACCACCCCACACCCCTCCCCTTACCCTCTCGTAACCATTAAAATCTTATATGTGTCTATGAGTTTTTGTTTCTTTGTTTATCTTATTTGTTTGTTGCTTTCTGTTTTATATCCCACATATGAGTGGTCAAATGGTTCTCAATTTTTTCTATCTGACTTATTTTTCATAGCATGATAACCCCAAGATCTATGCATATTGTCACAAATGGCAGTATTTCATTTTTTCTTATGGCTGAGTAGTATTCCATTGTATATATGCACCACATCTTCTTAATCCAATCATCTGTCAAAGGCCACTTTGGTAGTTTCCATGCCTTGGCCACTGTGAACAATGCTGCAATGAACATAGGGGTACATATTTACGGATAAGTATTTTCAGGTTTTTATCGGTAGATACACTAAAGAAGGATTGCTGGGTCATATAATTCTATTCTTACTTTTCCCCAAAGTTTGACCTTCATTGCTCTCCACAAAGTGTCTTAATCTTAACTGGAGCCTTTTCTCCCATTGTACACATTTGTGTATCATAAAACTCAGTCTCCTAGAAAACTCAACTTTTGTGAGGCAAACCCTGTAATTTCCTGTTACCAGGCTCTTTTCTCTATCTGAAATGACCCACCCATTGGTGTGTCTCCCACCCAAGTCATATTCTTCAAGGCCCAGTGTAAATGCTACCTCTGCCAGGAAGCATTTTCTTATCGTCCTAGTAAAAAGACCCCTCTTTCTTTTTGAAAATCCTGGACCTATTCCCTCTATATATTTTTAAGATTTTTATTAAAAATAGAGCTAACAGGGGCTGGCCGAGTTGCTCAGCTGGTTACGAGTTCGCTTGGGAGCACCAGCTCTGAGCAGCAGGGCTGCGGATTGGCTCCCACATTGAGGGCCAGTGATTCTCGCCCTCTACAGCTAAGATGATGAACAACAGCTCCACCTGGAGCTGGGCTGCTGTGAGTCGCCAGCAACGGCATAGGCTGCAGCAGGGCTGCAGTGGGCTGCCGTGAGCTAAGTGAGTGGCTGGCAGCCAGTGTGAGCGGCCGGCAGCCGCTGTGAGCAGCCAACCAATGACCGGCGACCGATTGCTTCATCCAGGAAGAGCACAATGATCATACCAACATGGGCCAGTG